CAGTTGAAGCTTGTCAAGAAAGTGAGTCAGCTGAATACCGTGAAATAGGGTCTGGTTATCTGGTAAGAAGAATTTTCTCTTTTTTAAACCTTACAGTACTTCCTGGTAGTGATTTTATTTACATCAGTAGGATATTTCCAGTGGAAGGACACTGTGATGTCATCTTTGAGTTGTGTACCACGAGGATTGCTTTATAAATAAGAACTCCTATAATGTGATACTTTTGATTTGTTAATAACCGAGCACTCTTGGATATAAGACAGACTGCTGTGTTTATAAAAATGACTGTAATGAATGGTTTTGGAAAGAGATTTCACTCCATTTGCATTTGACAGATGAACAAATTAGTTGCCAGAATTTCTTGACGAAATAAAAGCAAATTGTTAGCAGAATGCAGGCCAGGACCTATCTTCTAATCAAGGTCTGGGAGCTGGTTGAGGTATCTCCTCTGGCCTCAGTAAAGGATGAAACCGTCCACAGTTAATAAGAATTGCTTCTGTTTCCACGGTCCTTCAAGCAGCCCATTTAAACGTGTAACAATATATCCTCTGAATCTATCCCATTATGCTCTAAAGCCTTCTTCTGAATTCTGTCCTCTGGAAAAGAACCAGCTGGTCACCATTCTCTTTTCACTTATTGATGTTAAAAATATTTATTGCCATCTCTTTTCTCAGTTGAAAAATCCAAGTTTAGGTAACCTTTTCACACAGGATTTGATTTTCTCACCCTTGGACTCACTCTGATGATCTCCCTGAAACTCGCTTCAGATTCTTCCTGCTCTTGGATGTAATAACCTAATGAGGTTGTCATGATACTGGAGGAGCCCTGGCCCTTTAATCCCCAAGGCTCAGCCTGCCCCTTATCCTGCAGCATCCCACTGCTCACCTTCCTAATACTGCTGTTCTCAGATCTCTGTTCTCACCTGTGCCTGGAAAGCAGCACACACAACAATCCCAAGCAGGGCTGCCTTTTGAGTAGGGGCAGAGTTGTGTTTCCCAGCTTAATAAGGAGGCCCTCCATCACCCGCTTCCTCCCTGGAGTTTGTTCTTCCTTCCATAGGAGGCAAGGCCTTAAATCCACAATTGTAAAATTCGTAATGCAAATATACTTCAAGAGAGATAATATGGCAACTTCATTTTATTTGCATAAAATTATAAATGGCTAATATAAGACCTGGAGATATGCTATATAATGGTTGGCTATAAGTGCCAAATTTGACTGTGCTTACTTCATCCCATTATCACTTTTCATTAGAAGTAGTAATGGTCCCTGGAATTACTGGGTAGTGAAGGGATGCCTTCTGGGGTTCTCAACAAGAGGTGAACTCTCCATTGCTTAGACCTAGCTCTGAGTGTATTACTTCTTAACCTATCTTCAAGCTTACTGATTCTTTCCCTGACCATGTGCAGTCTGCTAATGATCCCTTCAAAGGCATTCTTCATTTCTGTTCTTCATTCTTCATTTGTGTTTTTAATTTCTAGCATTTTCTCTTAATTTTTTCTTGGAATTTGCATCTCTCTGCTTATGTTAGCCATCTGTTCTTGCCTATTGTCTACTTTTTCTATTAGAGCCTTTAACATAATAATTATAGGTATTTTAAGTTACCTTTCTGACAATTCCAGCATCTGTGTCATATCTGAGTTTGGTTTTTATGATTGCTTTGCCTCTTCAGATTGTGCTTTTTCCTTCCCTTTTGTCGTGCCATGTAACTTTTTCATCACAAGCCAGACATGTTTGTATCAGGTAACTAAGGTAAATAGGCCTTTAATGTGATAATTTGGCTAGGAATTGGGCTGTGTTTAATGTTTGCTGTAGCTGCAGGTGCCAGGATCTTGTTTTGTCTCCTCTCTTGACTTTGGGCTTTCCTAAGTGCCCCTCCCAAGAGAGAGTCTGTGTCTTGCAGCTCTTGGAGCTATAATCCAAAGTAGTTATATTGGAGCCCTGCTGGTGTCGTGGTAAACTGTGGGGGGAGGTGATGTATTCTATAATATGATTAATAGTCCTGTGTCTCAGGTCTGTGACCTTTATAATTATTTTTCCATGGTATAGCTTTTATTTCTCCACTTAGGTAAGACAGGAAGTCTAGAGTGGGCAGGAGGGTAAGGAATGTCCTTCTCCTAGCTGGGATAAGGCTCTGGTAAAGTCTTTTCTCTTACTTACCAGACCTTTGTAATGGAGAACGCCTTGGGCTTATTTTACATTGATTGCTCTTTCTCAGGTCTTTACTGTGAGAACGTGGTGGGGTTGCTGGTGGTAAACTCTTGAAAACATGGGTCTGCCCTAAATCTGTGACCTCCAGGAGTTTCTCATTCTCATTCTAGTCCACATTCAGCCTCCAGAAAGTCATCAAAATGACCACTTAGTGTTCCTACCAGTTTATGGATCTATCAGCTTCTGCTCTAGGTAATCATATCTTGGCTGTGATTTTCTGGACTCATTTTTCTTTCCAGATTTTGGGGTGGGTGTTTGCCCTGTGATGTCTTTTCTCTGATGGAGGCCCAAGAAAAAGTCATTCATTTTCAGTTTTTTTTAACTGTTTCTTGTTGTAAGGATAGGAATGATAACTTTGAAGCTCTTGGTGTGTCAGAGCTGAAACCAGAAGTCTATATTACTTCTTTATGCAAATTTAATTTTGTGTTATTTCTCCCGATGCATTCATCTTGAGTCAACATGACTATTTTTTTAAAAAATTGAAGTGAGTGTAGCTATATTTACATTTATACATAAATCAGGTCTGGTGTTAGAAGAGTTGAAATAATAAAACAAGATGACTTTAGAAGATAGAGCATTAGAATGGATTCTAAATTCTACTGATGAGGGACCCTCAGAATACAGAAATCTTCCACAATACAGCCACTCCTCCTCCATGAAATGTTATGTCAAGGCTAACTTGATAGGGGGCTCAGGGTGATATAACCTAAACACTTAAGAACAACCTGTCCTAAAATGTCTCACTTTTCCAACTCTGATTCTTTGAGATCAAAGTAAACCCTCCCTTATTTTTTTATTCTACAACACATACAATGAACTTGCAGGTATTCTTTAAAGGTTAGATCATATGCCACATTCTATGTTAAGCCTCCTCTGATTACCTCAAGTGGAGGTAACTTCTTCTACCTTTTCTTTAATTGTTACAATGGTGTGCTGGAGACAGTTCATACTGGCTCATAAGAGCTGAATGTGAGCATGCACCTCTTCCCAATTCCACATTCGGTGACATCATATTGGTAGAGTGAAATCGGCTATGGTGGAAACACACCACTGAAATTGGAAAACACTACAAATCAGGACTTTTTTTTCCCTAGAGAGCCAGTTAAACATTTATCATCACACCACTATATGTATGTGTGTCTTTGTGTATAGCTATATATAGAGAGAGAGAGAGAGGAAGAGAGAGAGCAAGAGAAGAAGGGAGAGAGAGAGACATAATAGCTTTTATGTACTTATGTCTTATTCTAGTCTGTAGTTTCTTGAGTATAGATGTAGTGTGTAGGTGTTATTTTTACTTCTGGGTATCCACTCCCTCTTTTTGCTTGGGGAATCACTGGTCCTTTATTTAATTCTTGGGCATTTGGGTGGGGCTTAGTTGTCTCTTGATTACAGGGCAGACATGAACTTGACAAATCAGTATATTCATTCTCTCTGGCCCCAGGGATTGGTTCAAGGGCAGTCACATGATATAAACTAAGTTAATAAAAGCCAAAGAACAGGTGCCCTGAGACTTTAGTTGGAACTATTGGAAAAGTACTCTCTTTTCACTGAGGTGCTAAGTTGATAGACATTAAGTTTGGAACTTCTGGTGGCCATTTAACCTATGCAATGGTAGACCTAAGAATAAAGTTAACATAGAGAAATGAAGAACCAAGAGATGAAGAGAGAAGATTCCTATAATAATGAACTGGATCTATATGGAAGTTGCATGCTTTTTCAAATATGTGAGCCAAGAGTCATTTGTTTGTTTTTGGTGAGGAAGATTCACCCTGAGCCAACATCCGTTGCCAATCTCCCTCTTTTTTTTTGTTGCTTGAGGATGATTAGCCCTGAGCTAACATCTGTGCTAATCTTCCTCTACTTTTTGTATGTGTGATGCCTCAACAGTTTGGCCGATGAGTGAAGTAGGTCCCCACTGGGATCAGAACCCGCAAACCTGGACTGACCAAGCTGAGCGTGGTGAACTTTAACTGCTGGCCCCAAGAGTTTTTTAAGTTGATTAGTTTTAATTGGGATTCTGTCACTGGCAACCAAAAAAGCCCTGACTAATACAGTAAATAAAATACAATATCTTAAAAAATAATAATTAAAGCCCTATATCCACATAATGTCCTACCTTTAAAGAGACTCAATAATTATTCATTGAATGAACGAAGGAACATGATGTAAAATACAAATGCAAAGCTTTCTGTCAATGTGGGATATCTTTATTTCCTCCTGAAAACATTATTAAATTTTTGAGTGGCTTCTTTATATCAGATTGCAGGCGTTTTGAAAGAGGAAGCAATTGTGTTTTATTGTTTGACCTTTATTTCCTTTTTGCTGTTTGACTAGTACAGAAAAAAATAAAATATTTATTATTAATTAACTTCCTAAAGTCTCCATAATAATTCTTTTTTCTATTTGCATACTCTTTGTCTCATCATACAACGATTTTGTGATATCATTTTCTATAGAGAAAATGTAAAGATAATCCACTCTTTTCTCTTGCATGATTCTCCTTTTTGAGGTCATCTTCAACAGAACTTTCCTTCACTAAACCAAACACAACACATGCCTTTTGTTGGTTGGTGTTGCCTTCTTCTGTGCCTTATCTCTTTTTTTGGCTAAATATTCTTGACTTTTTTTTTTTTTTTTTAAAGATTTTATTTTTTCCTTTTTATCCCCAAAGCCCCCCGGTACGTAGTTGTGTATTCTTCGTTGTGGGTTCTTCTAGTTGTGGCATGTGGGACGCTGCCTCAGCGTGGTCTGATGAGCAGTGCCATGTCCGCGCCCAGGATTCGAACTAACGAAACACTGGGCCGCCTGCAGCGGAGCGCGCAAACTTAACCACTCGGCCACGGGGCCAGCCCCAAAATATTCTTGACTTTTAAACAATTGAGGAGGAAAAGTTTTTGTGCTTGGTCCCTAAGTGCTTAGCTCAGGGATATGTAGTGGTCCTTTCTCTTTCCTTAGTAGCTAATGGAAATTCATTATTAAAAAACCAGAAATGGCAATGCATTTATTTCATTTTTAAGAGCTTGAACACTTAAGTGAGGATGCTGAGAGCAGTTGTCTTTTCATTACTTTATATTACATGAATTCAGCCTGTGTTCTTTACACTATAGTCTTACTCATTTTAGTGAGTAATTGGGTGGAGAGCTAACTTTCTCCTTCTTTCATTTTCCCTTTTCAGTGATCAATTGCTGTTTCAGAAAATACCAGAAGACCCCAAAGGAAAACATTCCATCCAGAGTTAGTCAACAAGTTGTGACCTATCTACATTTAATGCCAAGAGTATCATTTCCAAGTACAGCCATGAAACTGAGCCAGGTAGTAGACTCAACATCACATTCCATGTAACTCAATATCTATGGCTAAATCAAGAGACAATGGAGGAGTCTACCCCTGCTATATTAATTCTTATTTTAAAACAGGTGGACGCTTGCACAGAGAAGGGTTTATATATACCAACGTTACGTAAGCTCTGGTATATGTGCCTTTAATCGATCTGAAAGACGAGTTAAAAGATGCTTTAGAACCTAAACGGAACAGGTAGAAAGCACTGCCATGTGGGCAGTAAGGCACTGACAATGCTGAAGCACTGGATTAAGGTTATGCCAGAGCTGTTAACCTAAAACTCTTAATAGCTTACTTCGTTTTCCCATTTATACTTGTTAGCATTTAATACCTAACTAGTCAAAAATGACCCTCTTTTTTCTTGCATACAAAATGGGATGAGATAGGGCTTACTTCAAATTTGATTTGGCTTAAGTTTCCTAAATTTTAATAAAATGACTTTTTTGGTATCTCGGAGCTATGTGATCACCTAGTGGTAGGAGGGGTAAGGACTGTCAATGTCCCAAGACTGGAAGTAAATTCCTTGTTAACAGTGAAGTCCCTGGGGAAGGGAAGGGGCAATAAAGTATCAATGCTGCCGCCTCTATTCTCTTCCTTACTGGGAACACTGGCACACCAGAGAAAGTCACAGTGGCAACTGTTTGGATATGTGTCATGGAAGGCCTTGATTTATGGGAGAGTGGTTTTTGGTTCATGGTGATTGCTTCTGTGGGTAACAGAGATTATTACTGAGATAACTTTGAAGCCAAAGATAAAGAAATCTGACCTCACTTCCCTTTGTGAGCTATGGCTGCCTCCTGCTCCTACTTCCCACTCTAGCTCAATAAGTTATTTCATTTTCTCTTATCTCAAACCATCAGTTAATTAGTTAGTGGCCACTGCATTTGAATGTAGTATCAAACACTTTGTGGGGGATATATATAGCCCCCATAAAACGTAAAATATGGTTCCTGCTGTCAAGAAACCTAGAGCCAAGTCTTTTCTCAAATGACAGACAGTGGTAAGTATCAGATGGCAAGCACCAAACAAATGCTTTGGCAATCCAGAGGAGGAAGGGAATGCATTTACCTGTAGGATCAAGGTCTTGAATAAAAGACAGACTTTTTCATGGTAACTGGATATTAGGTAGGACATTTCCTCTTCTCTCTGAATTTTAGCTAAAGCCTTCCACCTAGAAAATAGATAAAAAGTACCTTAAGAGAGTACCAAGGAGCTACAAGGCTCTATCTATGGATTACCAAGAGTTAGCCAAACTGGAGCTGAGACTCTAACCACCTCTACCTCATCAAGTGATGAAGGACGTTGTGGAATTTCCCCTTTCTTTCACTGAGAGTAAGGAAAAGGAGGATATTATGGACTGAATTGCATTCTTCTAAAATTTGTATTGAAGCCCTACTCCCCGGTGTGACTATTTTTGGGGACAGGGCCTTTAAGGAGGTGATTAAAGTTATATGAGGTTATAATGGTGGGGCCCTAATCCAACAGGACTGGTGTCCTTATAAGAAGAGAAATAGATACCTGGGATGTGCATGCACAGAGGAAATGCCATGTGAGGACACAGTGGGAAGACACTCACATGCAAGCCAAGGACAGACGCCTTAGGTGAAACCAACCATGCCAGCACCTTGATTTTGGACTTCCAGCCTATAGAACTATGAGAAAATAAATTTCTGTTGTTTAAGCTACTCAGTCTGTGGCATTTTGTTATGGCAGCCCTGGCAAACTAATATAGAGGATTTTCCAATTAACAGGGGACCTAAGAAAACTTGTAGGGATTGGGAAAGCCTATAAGAAGGGGAGACTGACAACTCATCCCCTAGTATTTGTTGGCGTACATTAAGTTTGAGACAGAATGTGAAGTTGCATTTGATTTTAATGGATTTTTTTTAATACCTGAAGTTTAACTATCCTCACTAAAATGGGAATATGCTTGAGATGTCATTAGGGAGCATGGAAGGTAGGTCTCATAGATCATGTTTGAAAATAATTGGTGGAAAATAAAAGTGTTTCTTGTTTAGATTGTTCAATAAACTGGTTAAACATGCAAAACTTGGACCCTCTGCATTACATATATCTACAGGTGTCACTAATCTCATTGAATGTGCTCTAATACAAGTGATAGTTTTATTTTATGGCATTAGTATTTTTAAAAAACTGCTTAGTTTTTGACTCAGAATATGGTCCCCAATAATCAGATTTATGGACTAGGAGAGGAATATAGTATGACAAATATTGTCTATATTTCCATTTTGCCATTCTTCTCTAAGACTAGAGAAGGGCAGGGTTTTCTAATTTCTGACATTTGTTAGTTTCTATGTTGCTTTTTTTTGGCAAATCACATCATAGCCATTTCTCCTCTGTGTGTGTGTGTGTGTCTCTATGAGAGAGAGAGAGAATGTTTAAATATTAGAAGTCTATCTGTGTATGAGATAATGTTTAAATACAATAATTCTCTATATTTCAAAATCAACTTTTTTGACCAATGGAAGTATTTACTGGATTATGTGGATGGCTCAGCAGAGGGAGTTAATTATCTGTTTATTCTTGGCTCAGTTATTGCACAATTTCAATCAATGGTGATTGAATTTACAAGACATAACCGTCTGATAACACAATTGCCAACATTAACATTGGGTGTTGCAGTGAATTTGGCAGCAGACATCATATTATCAAACTATTGGCATATTTAGTTGGCATCCCACTTAACTAGTTCTTACACTTCTTAGTGTGAGGATATGAGCCATGAGTTTTTCCTATGAGTTCTTCTCCCTCAGAGACTACAGGGTGAGTAAGAAGCTTAGATTGTTTTAAGGACCAGGATAGAGCTGGAACAGTTCAGAGAAAAAAATCAGAATTGAAGTGAAGGAAATAAGCAACATATTTATGGTAATTATATGAGAGGGATGATCAAAAGTCAGAGAATGGCTAAATATCGCTAACATGTGGTCAGTGTAAGCAGGTTGCCAGGGGAATTCCACAGTGGTGTAATAAAAAGTCATCCTTTATTGTTTGACAAAGTTAACCTTGTTAGTATCCATGTAATCCTTAATTGAACTTGATTTGAATATCTTTATAAGTTCTCACTCAGCCTACATTTATCTCACACTCAGTGATCATAACAACTGAACAGAAGGCAAATACAGAGAGTAGCCCACGCTTGATCATCAATCTTATGGAAAGCACTCACACTGCATCATAAACTACCATCTGTTTTTGAAACTCTATGCAATGAACTGATTCACTTGCTTGATAATTATAAGCTTTATTTACCTATCTTGTAAACTTAGGGTGACAGGGACTTCCTTCCACTCTTTCCTTCTCATACCAATGGCAGTAGGCCAAAAAATGACCGCCAAAAGATATCCATGTCAAATCCCTGGAACCTGAGAATATTAGCTTATTTGAGAAAAGGGTCTTTGCAGATGTATTTAAGTTAAGAATCTTGAGATGAGGAGATAATCCTGGATTATCTGGGTAGAGAGAGACAGACAGATATACAGATAAGACACACAGTAGAGGAGAAGGCAACATGAAAAGAGAGGCAGAGGTTGAAGTGATGTAGCCACAAGCCAAGGAAGCTAAGGCATGCCCAAAGCCACTAGAAGCTGGAGGAGGCAGGGGAAGATTCTCCCTTAGAAGCTTTAGAAGGAGCATGTCCTTGTTGACAGACACTTTGATTTCAGACTTACGGCCTTCATAACTGTGAGAGAATAAATTTCTGTTGTTTTAAACCACCAGGTTTGTGGTGATTATCACAGCAGCCCTAGGGAATTGCTATTCCAACCAATACTCTCTCTCTCACACACACTTTTACATACTATTTGGACCAATACTATTAATATTAGTTCAATTTACCCTTAATCTTAAAGTTATCTGGATCTACTGCATGTTTTCCAAAAAGTTTCCATTGAGATAGCTCAAGGTCAACTTAGGAGAGTAAAACAGATGATGCTTCACAGGATCCGCTTCCATTTTTTTTTCCCGAGGAAGATAAGCCCTGAACTAACATCTCCTGCCAATCCTCCTCTTTTTTCTGAGGAAGACTGGCCCTGAGCTAACATCTGTGCCCATCTTCCTCTACTTTATATGTGGGATGCCTACCACAGCATGGCTTGCCACGTGGTGCCATGTACGCACCTGGAATCCCAACCAGCGAACCCTGGGCCACCGAAGTGGAATGTGCACACTTAACCGCTGCGCCATCCAGCCAGCCCCAGGATCTGGTTCCATTTAACATAGTATTCTGGTTATCATTTACTGCTTAACAGATCACCCCAAACCTTAGCAGCTTAAAACAAGAGTATTCTTTTCTCTTGTGGTTCTGTGGATTGACTGAGCTCAACTGGGCGGTTACTTTGGGGCTGTTATATTGATTGCAATCACAGCGCTGTTGGGGCATGCATGATCTGAAAGTTCTATTGAACTGGATATTTCAGATGACTCATTCTCATAGTGACAGTTGATTCTAACTCTCCCCTGGGAGCTCAGCTGGGGTTGTTGCCTTGGGGGCACCTATATGTAGCCTCTCCTTGTAGCTTGGGCTTCTCATAAGATGGCAGCTAAGTTCCCAGAATGAGCATCCCAAGAGAAAGTTTTCCAAGAAACAAGAAGTCGAAGTGCCAGGTCAGGAAACGTTGTGCTATAACAGTGTCCTTCTGCTATATTTTATTGGTCAAGATGTACAAGTCTTACCCAGATTCAAGGGTGTGGAGAAATAGACTCCACTTCTTGATGAAAGAATATCAAGGTCACATTGCAGAAGAGCATGTGAGATGAGAGATATTTTTGTGACCATCATTGTAAAATACAATCTGCTATGCATAGTAATCAGGTTCACAAATAACACCAAATTCAGAAAAGTTATTGGTGCTTGAGTAAAAAGGATTACAATTCAAAGGCACTTTGAGAAGATAAGCTTCTACAGGGAAAACTCCTAATCTAACACAACATCTATCTAGCAGCCTTAATTACAGCCTCCCTCCATTTCTCCCAACTTTCCACTAAAAGAAAAAGGGTAAACTCACATCGCCTCCAAACTGAAACCAACGAGCAATATCATATTAAGAGTTCTTTTCATGACATATCTGGGCTCTGCTTCACGATAGAGTACACCTCGAAAAATCAAGAGGAGGACCCTTCCTGCCATTGCTGTTGTCTGATCCTAGACCCAGAGTCCCAGGATCTGAATCACTCAGAAAATTAGGCAGCTGTCTCTCTCCCCCAAAGATGACGAACTGCCTGTCTCCTTGTCCCTCTTTCAACTTTCAAATATTATTCCTCCCTACCAAGTTACTACTCCTATCAAGGATATTTCCACCAGAACATAACTGGGCAAGAGTTGGGGAGGGGAAGTCGTTCAGAACTGCTGGTGCTGCATAGCATTTGGACAGTGTAACACTAAAAAGTAAAGTACTTTGGGTGAGAGCTGAGACAGGAGGGGCTCATTTTGGAGTTGAGGTTCAGAGTAACACTGTTCCAGGCAGTGAGGGTAGGCAGTGATATTGCTTCAGGCAAGCAGAGGTAAACTCAGGAAAGACAACAAGAATCTGAGAGTTCAGCTGGGAGAGGTGTGCATCATTCTGCCCTCCAGCTACAAATCTGAGAAGAGGAATGAAACATCACCTAAGTAGACAGAGGACAGGCCACATGAAAGGCCTATGGACAAACACATTACACCCTTGTTCAAAGAGAACAACAGGGTCTTAAGAATCACCACTGAAAATGACCTATGGCAAAGTATAGAAAGACATTTCAAGTTGTATGATATTCTCATCAGGGTGCAAAAGCGTACAGCTACCATAACATGGGGATAGAAACAGGAAGAAAAGGTAGAGATGCAAAGAGAGATAGACAAGATTTAAAAAAAGACAGGAAAACATTATTTTCTTGTTTTCGCCCCTGACATTTCTAGGCCAAATGAAAAAGTTAAGTAAACATTCCACAAGGACAAATGAATGCTTTAAATTTAAGAAAAAACAAAATAAATAGAATATTTAGCTATAATTATGGGAAATAATTGGTGGCACTAATAATGGTATAAAAGGAATGGACTTGGGTAATTCTAAATATTTTAGTGTTTTATTACTAAATCAAGTATGTTAGCAACTGTACAGATTTAAGGACATGAGAACAAACCTTACCATATGTTTTTACTGATCAGGCCCAGCTAAT